AACTACGGCAAATCACGACAATTATTGCCAGTAGAACTGGCTGCAGCCAGGAACTATAATATGTTTGGAGAGCGTACAGACTCCCACATAGGCTTGGTTATGTGGATCGTGTCGTTATCCACAAGTAGCATTTTGTGCACTCAACAACCGGAGTGCACATAAACAATATTGAAACTATGTGATTGAGGCTGAAAGAGTTTTTGTGACTTTATCATGGCTCCAGAGGCCCACTGTTCTGCAGCCGTATGGATGATTTTCTCTACTGCATGCATTATGATTTTAGAATCTCTGAACCTCTTTCTAACCTTGACAAGTTTTTGAACCACTTATAAGAAGTGTATCCACTATATTTCCTTGGTTTTCTATAACACCTTTTTACTCTATACTGACTGTTTGCTGATTGGTTAATATTTCTCAAGATCATTCAAGTTTCGTTCAATGGTCGTTCATAAATTAGAGTCTCGCCAAACATGACTATATTTATCAGCTTCGTATTTATTTCAGTAGTAAATGTTTTACATTTAAATAAAAAATTGGTTATCATTTTTTCATGTTCAAAAGAAAATCAATAAAGTTTTGCTTGTAAGATTTTAAATCTTGCCATTATTCAGGTTATGGACTACAATTAATCAGTCTCTGTTGACGTATTCGAATCCTGAGTGGATTATGTCGTTAGTGCAATTTAGTTACATGAATTATTAAGCAAGGTTTAAATAGTGGGCTAGTAATGGGATCCAGGATAATCATTTGGTACTAGTTAGGAATCGTCATTTGGATGTACATGCACATATATTCATATTCATATTGAGACTCAAATCCAGTACTTTATATATCAAATGTCTAGTCCATTATTCAATGATAAGCTGAGTCCAGAAAATCTACTGATTTGTACGACAGTTCGGATACATACATCCTGAATTCCAGCATTATTCCATATCAAAACCTTGATTGTGATTTTTTGTAAATGTATTTAAAACGTATTCTCAACTTAATCAGAAATTTGTAACACCCATCATCTAGATTTAACTTATATATAATTACAATGTAGTGAAATTTGTCATGATTCTAAAACGTTAGTTTAACACTTTAATAAAGGTATCCATTGCATAAGTGTTGAACAGTCAAATTCCGATTTATTTCATTAATTGTTCACATTAGTTACATCATTTTCATGAGCAAATTTTATGATCATTATCTTTAGGGATAATTAGTCATACACAACTGTAAATAGTGGGTATACAAAAAGGAATTTTCTAATGAATCAGTACAACAAATGAGTGCTATATGTGCTATATTGAGTAATTCCTACATTTAAATTGAAATATTATCACGTAATCCATTTTATCCTATCAAAAGAGTTACATTTGTAATTATTTCATAACCATCTCAAAGTTTTATGCACAGAAAAGTGTGTATCTGTTGACCAACCTAGCAGAAACTTAATGTAAAAAGCTATCACCCATAAACTTTAATATAATTGATATCATCATTAAAACTAAAAAACAATAATCAGTTTTATTGATTAATTGATTGAAAAATCAATTCATATATCTAATGCTTTCAAGTTTTTCATGGTGGTCTAGCTTCAATTAACTCATGATCTGTTAAGTCCTGATAAGCATAATGAATGGTAACTTTTGGGATCCATTTATGAACCAACAATTATACGATATAAATATACGCATATTATTATTATTATTATTATGCTTATCGGGATCTAACATGATTTCAACTATTGAAATTACTATACTATCATCCACAAAATCCCTTCTGATATGAAAGTAATATTTGACTGAAGTTTCAAATGTACACAATGAGTTTATATATCTGCTGTCATTTATCATTACAATGTTTACATTAATGAATTCCATTGTCTTTTGTTATTTATTATCAGAAATGATAAACAATCTTATTCAGAATACATATATATATATATATATCATAACGAGTTATTGTTCTATTTAATTATACAATATACTACTAGATTGTAATGTTATATACTACTATTACTATTAATAGTAGTAGTTGTTGTAGTTGTAATTGTATCGTATAAACATTTTTATGATTGATTAATTGAAATTTTTGTGATACTAATGTTATTTGTAAATCTTATCAAACCAAAGAGGCTTGTAATTAATCAATCTAGTTGAGAATAATGATGAATGGAATGCTGGTTATATAAAGTTGATATGAGAACAGAGAAGTAAATCAGTTATGATAAACAATGAAAGGTACTGTTTTAGGAACATTATTTCACTGAATTCAAAGTTTGTAAAATACCAATATTTTAATTCACTTGATATTGTTTTATTTTTTTTTAATCTTCCCATTGATGTTTTTGGACTGAAATTGATCAGTCACTTATTGGCATATGTGCATACTGTGCGTATGCCTCGATATTGCCTTAATTTACAAGCATTATAAGCAAAGATGGATAGTGGCTAGCAGTGGAATCCAGAACGCGCGTTTCGTCCTGTTTCGGACTCGTCAGTTGGATGTACCTGCATCTCAGAGTTGATGTTCACTCTGGGACTCGAACTCAGTACCGTTCGCTTCAAACGCCATCGCGTTATCCACTTAGCATCAATGGTAAGATTCAAATAAAACAATATCAAGTGAATTCAAATTCACCCCATTGCACAAGCAAATGGCTATCAGGACTCAGTAGCTAAGTGGATAACGCGATGGCGTTTGAAGCGAACGGTACTGAGTTCGAGTCCCAGAGTGAACATCAACTCTGAGGTGCAGGTACATCCAGCTGACGAGTCCCAAACAGGACGAAACGCGCGTCCTGGATTCCACTGCTAGCCACTATCCATCTTTGCTTATAATACCAATATTTTGTTTGGTTCCCAATTTATATACTATAAACCATAAGCTTTCGTATGATGCATGATTCATTGTCATAATCTTTTCTGTTTAAAAGCTATTTTAATTTAAATGTAACCCTTTTGTACTCTATTTGTCTAGTCTAATACCCAGTTTGAACACAAATGTATTTTTCTAATTGTTTGTGCGTTGTGATATTGTTAGTAATCGATATATTGATACCTCTTCTTACATCAATCTGAAACGGGAATCAGGAATAAATCGAGTAATGCTTCAGTTGATTCATCTTCTCTTTATCTCTCGCTTGTCAACCGATCAGGTGATAGAATAGTTGTCGTCTTAATTTGAACTCACATATTTCTAGCTTCAAGGATGAACCAGTCGTGTCAAGGCCATAACCTAAGATCGAGACAAGTTCTCTCCTGTAATATTCTTATGTAAACCAATCAATGACATAACAGATGCTTTTTTTCTGAGTTAGAAATTAAAACATCAAATATCAGTGCATATGAAATAGATTGCTTTAATTTTACACCATTTATAATGTTACATATTTCTACTATGTTAGATTATGAAGAGTAAGACAATAGTATTAGGCAATTGTGATCAAATTGGTTTGTTGATATGTGACTTTTTCAAAAAAAAAGAATAGAATAATAGAATAGCGATTATCAAATTTAACTTCAACAAACCGGGAACTACTGTTTCACCTCTCTCCCTCTCAATCACCCACCCACTCACACACACATACACACATAAATCTATACATAGTAACGAAAGTGATGCCGACATGGAAATATATGAATGTATGCTTAAGTGTTGCGAAGTAATCAGTGATTGTTTTCAATGACAATCATTATTATTTATCGCTTAATTTGAATAGTTTATAAAAAACAATTTATTCTGATCTCTTAATGAGTATTGTTTTCAATAAAATTGTCACTAAAACATTTATCTTACACGTCTGATTTAATTTCTAAAGAAATTTTCATTATATTGATCTGTCAGTAGGTAAACTATGAAGAACTGGAAAGAACTGACAAAATAGCAAACAAGAAAGTGAAGAGTAGCATTAGAACTGACAATTAGAAATACGTGAGAGACCTAAAAATAACATCGGAAAAGGCTGTAAGAGAAGGATGTATGAGACCGCTATATAATATAACGAAGAAACTAACAGTAAAGGACAGTAAACCAGAGACCAGTGAAGGATAAAGAAAGCAAGCCAATTACCGAGATTCAAAAACAGTGGAACAGGTAAGCAGAGCACCTTCAACAACTCTTGAATAGACCAGTCCCACTGAACCCACCGGACATCAAAGTATCACACATAGACATTCCTATAGATGTCACTCCACCAACGAAATTAGGATGGTCATCAGAGAAATCAAGAGTGGTAAGCAGTTGAACCAGACAACATACCATCTGGACCACTGAAGTCAGACAGAAGTCACTTCAAAGACGCTCCAAATTCTATACTGGATCATTTAGGAGGAAGAAAAATTGCCGACAGACTGGAAAGAAGGAGGCCTCACCAAGATACCAAGGAAAGAAGATCTGAGCAGATGTGAGAAAAACGGAGACACCACACTACAATCACTAACAAGAAACATTTTCAGCAGAGTGTCGTCGAACCGGATGAAGGATTAAGTAGTTGTTCGACCTTGAGATCACCAGGCTGTAAAGATCGGTTAAGTACAGACTATATCACTACACTATGGATCATTAATGAGCAGAGAATAAACCAGCTTCCAGATGAATTGGAAATCAGGAAAAGACGGTGGAGGTGGATAAGACACACATTAAGGAAATCTTCGAACTGTATCACGAATCAAGCCCTAGATTTGGATCCTAAAGGTAAAAGGAAAAGAGGCGAATCAGAAATCACGCGGAAGCAGGAATTGGAAGCAGATATCAAAAGAATGAATAGCAATCGGCAACAACTAGTAAGGAGAGAAAAGGACAGAGGTGGATGGCTTATGCTCCACTACTAGGGTTAACAGGTGTAAATGAGTAAGTCAGTAAGTAATTGAAGTGAAAGTTACTAAGATCATGTCCCATAGTGAACGTCAACACTTGGACCCCAAACATTCAGCTGATGAGTCTTAAATAGAACGAAATATACTTTGTGGATTTTAATGCTAGTTACAGATAGATAATTATCAACTTACCAATTAGCGTTGTAACAGGATGTGCACTATATGGACAATGAACTGTAGGCGGAATATTTTGATCTTGATTTGTTTGATTGATTCTAAATTCATTATCTTTAGTCAACATTGCTTGTTTATTGCTCATATCATTTTTTCTTAGTAAAAAACAATCACAAGATTCTCCTTCTAAACATATTCTTTCTGATAATGCAGACAATATAGGATGACGATGTGGAGGTTTAGGTGGCTGTGAATATGATGGTAATGATGTTTCTATTGAGGATATTGAAGAAAGTATTGGAAATGGTTGTTTTTCCTCACGTTGTGGATATGGTAACTGAACGTATGTTACGCCTGTATCGCATATAATTCTACCAGTCATTGAGGGTGAACAAGAAGTTAAAGATGATGACAATGATGATGATAATAAAGTCGATGATGATATGTTTACTGTAGTTTGATTATATAAAGAACAGCAAACAGGTATTGTTGTAATGTGTTTATTCATTTGATTCCTTTCAAATTTATCATTACTAAAAGGATAATTAAATTTGACTTGATTGAAACCAATTGTAGTTAATGAGGAATCATTAATGTTACTAAGAGAAAAATCATTTTGTAAATTTTTTTGATGATTATAACTTGATTCTTGTAATTCTTTTTGTATTGTTACTGTTATTGGTGCAATTGATGATGAGGCTAATGAAGTTTTCTTGCGAAAATTAACAATTAACTATGAAATAGAAGATAAAAAAGAGAAATAAGTGAAAAGTGTTATTGTAAAAGGAAAACAAATTTGGACAGAAAGAAGAACAAACTTAATCAAAAGTGTTTTTTTATCAGTTTAGTGGTTGTGGAGATTGTTAAGCTTTTGATTGAAACCATGAACCGATTGATGTTAGACCACTATTGAAAACCTGGAAGCACTGGAAGGCCGTTTCGTCCTATTGTGGGACTCCGCAGCAGTGTGCATCCATGGTCCCGCTCAAGGGATTCGAACCCAGGGCTTCAGTCTCGCGCGCGAACGCTTAACCTACTGGACCACTGAGCCGGCATCCAATGGTGTTAATGTCTAACCTCAACCAATCCACGATGTTACGTGACCATCTTCCATTGTACTGAGGTAGACACCTGATTTTTTGACAGATTAAACAATTTATAAGTAAATATATTCGATTAATCAGTTAATAAGTTATTGTCTATGTTGAGCCTGGTATAGAAGTGCATTTGTTTAAGTTGCCATCCCATAACTACCATGATAGAATGAAGTTAACAAAATGAATTGACAGAGAGATTGAAATTATGTAGTATGAATGACAAAAAAATGACTGAATGATTCTAATATAATTCGAGAAAACAAAATAGAATGGTGGAAATGAGAAAAGAATGGAATTCAAGGTGGAGAGGAAGACAAGAACTCAATGCATCTAAATTGCTATGAATGAATCTGAGTCATGATGTTTAACATTTTTAAACACTAGCTACATAATTCATGAGGATTTCAACTGTGTAGCTTCGTTCAAGAGTAGACAACTTCATGAACTGATGCTATCTTTTGGTTTCTTAATAGTTATATATATATATATATATCACTCAGAACAACATTTTAATCAGTGTATAGTAATTGAAATCATGTTAGTCAAGCTCTGAATTTCAAATGAACCGCCAAAATCAAACTTCAGTAAGCAATTAGGTTTATATAATTCGACTTTGTCAGCAATACTGAAGACATGACAATCGTGACAGTGATCAGTGACTAAAGTGATTAAACAGTGTAAATTATCAGCCCTACAGCTGTTCATACAGGTTAGCACCGATGTTTTTATTATGAAAACATTTTTTAAAAATCCATAAACCACTAACGAAGATAGTTCAGAAGAAGTCTATTTTATATTTCGATTGTTATAACTAAAGTGAATTTAAGATCAAATTCTCTTTCTTTAATTCTCATTTTGTTGGTCGTCTCTCTCACTGCAACTTGATAGGAAGCGGGACAACTGGAGACGATGCATAATCATCATACATCATACAGTGAATTCTTTATTTAGGTAACATAGCTTAGAATCGTCCATAATGGCACAAATACATTTAGTCTTGACCTTCTTTTCAATCTTACAATTGAGAATTCTTTTACGTATATATTTTCACCGAATCTCTCTTAGACATTCTCAATGTTCACTTGTTTTTATTATGATTGTAATTCATTTCATTACATCATATCAATTGTGGTATGACATTTGTCGCAGGATCTAAATCGATGATAACTGACTGATTAACTGGCTAACAGTAATCAACTAGACTAAGAAAAAATTCAGCACAAACTACGTAAATAAAACTATAATCATCCGGTGTATGGAATAGCCTAGTTGGTAATGCCTCCAAATGTTATCTCTCCCTCTCGCAATGCTCTCACATGGCCACACGTATACAGCCACTAACAGCAAAGTCCTACTTATTACCTTCTCAAACCACAGCTGTTGTTTACGAAATTGAGAGGACAGAAAGCGAGTGTCCGGCGCTTTAACCGGGTTGGTGGATACAGAGAGTTCAACTTAGGGGAGTTGGAAAACCCTGATTCCAAACCAATGGTGTACATGGGCTCCAGTATCCTTAGGGAACAAATGGCGCATGAATCAATCGTTCGTCACCAGTTACCATGAGACTGCATCTCCTTACGTCGCTCCATTGCCTTGTGAATCAGACCTTTAGGTCAAAGGCTTCAGGTGTGGCCCCCTAAGAAAACCACCTGCTCCAGTTTGGGCACCCTGGCAGTATACCAGCCCTCATACAAGTTGAATAATTTATGTGGTGTATATCTATTTGGTGCACCTTTGTACCAATATTTATGTGTTCAAATAAATTAAATAAATAAATAAGTTGGTAAACATAAGCATAGAAATTAATGATTTACAAAAATGTATAACATAATATTATCATGCCATTTTACAAAATTCAGATCAGAAAAACATTGTCAAAAATATGTGAAAATATCTTATATCAATAAACATAAATGATCAAACTTTGTATTAGTTGATTTATACTACTGATGATTTACACATATTTACTGTAAAATAAACACTGGAGGAATAAGGAGCTATTATTATTATTATTATTATTATTATTATTAGTAGTAGTAGTAGTAGTAGTAGTAGTGTTAGTAGTAGTAGTAGTAGTGGTAATAGTGGTAGTACTAGTAATAGTGATAGTAGTAATAATGCTTGGAAATAATTCTAAAACAACAATTGTCTATTTATTTAAACAATAATTATTTAATATCAGATGGGTTTTTGTGTAGATTGTAGTAATTTCAATGGTTAAGATCATGAGTCAGTTGAAGCTAGACCACCATGGAAAACCTGGAAGCACTGGACAGCCGTTTCGTCCTATTGAAGGGACTCCTCAGCAGTGCGCATCCACGACCTCGCCCCCTGCGAGATTATATTTATTGGAATTTAATTGTTCCACTTTCAAATGACAAATTGATTTTGTCTATGAAATGAAGTAAATTATAATATAGACATTATAATGATATTGTATTATTTATTTTGTATTGTTTTATTTGAAACATATATATATAACTTAAATTTATTATACAATTGTAACTAGTTTGTAATATATTGAAATAGGATACTAAGTAAATGGATACATATTATGAAAGATTGATTAATTAACGAGCATTAATAGAAACAATGAGTAAATATTAATTCATATCACTAGGGGTTTTTTGTGGATATTATAGTAAGTTTAATAGATGAGATCAAGAGTCAATTGAAGTAAGGCTACCATGGAAAACTTGGAAACACTAGATGGCAGTTTCGTCCTATTGTTAGACTCCTCAGTGGCAGTGAGTATCCACTATCCTGCCTCACGAGATTTGAACCCAGGACCTATTAGTCTCGCACGTGAGCACTTAACCATTAGATCACTAAACCAGTGATTCAGTGCTTTCAGGTTTTCCATAGAAATCTAGCTTCAATTAACTCATGATCTTAACTATTAAAATAAATATTACTTGTTACAAATTAAATTCATTTCAATGATACTAGTCAATGGTTATCTGAATTTAATAGCACAATGAATAATGAGCAGGTATTTTGAGTGAAAAATATTACCTTTGAATAACTATGTGAAGATGGACACTAGAATGCAGGTACATCGCGCAGACAAGTACCAAATAAGACGTCAAGGATACTATCCGACTTTAGTATATTAATTATATAAAATGAAGTTGATATATATATACATAATATGCACCTATGGTATTTTTCATATCAGTTTTATAAGAAGTTGTCCAATATACTGAACATAATATTTTGTATTAAGTAAGACCCCAATTGTTATGATTACCGTGCATTTTAAACAACTGTTGTGAACCGTATTCGTAAACTGAGTAAATTTTCACAAATTATCCATCTAAACCACAGTCGTACATTCATCAATGTATAGGATAAAAATGGTTTATTCAGAGTTTTGTGTGTGAAATCATAACTAAGAGTAGAGAGATAATCACTATTTAGAAAATATTCAATATTCAATATATAATTATTGAATGCTTTAGATATATCCATCGTTTGATTCTATCATATGTTATTGATACTATTTACTGCTAAGCGATCTTAAACTGGCATCAAGCTACGTTAAAATATTTGGGACCTTTTTACAATGATGTCAGGTGATGTTGAAAAATATAAGCACGACAATCAATATTATTAGGACAGTAACGCAATGATCATGGTGAAACTTTTCTACTAAATGTTGCACAGTTTATATTGTTGTAACCATATATAGATAGTCCTCATGAATAACTTCATTAATTCTAGAAGCGTTATTCTTTGAAACACTGTTGCTATGGTTAGCTTGACAATGAACAGAATCCAACTAAAATTAAAAACGTATCTTTTGACTGGATTCTGTTGTTAAACTATACAAAATCACATAAAAAGTCATTACAAACATGTTTTAAACAAAATTAATAGTTTTTGGTTGAGATCATGAATTAATTGATTTTAGACCACCGTTGGAAACCTGGAAGCACTGGACGGCCGTTTCGTGCTAGTATGGGACTCGTCAGCAGTGCGCATCAACGATCCCGCACCCCGCGGGATTCGAACCCAGAACCTACTGGCTTCGCGCCTGAGCACTTAACCATTAGACCACTGAGCCGGCACTCAGTGGTGGTAGTTTCTAACGTCAACCAATCCACGAAATTGCGCGACCAACTTCCATTGTACTGAGGTAGATACCTGTCTCTACCCGACACGGATTAGCTCCACTGGTCACGACTTCTCACTAGAACTCCGAGAATTCCCTCACGAAGCTAGTCACTAGTGAGCACATGTTAATTATCAGTATGGGGGTTGTGGAGATGGAAGTTGGTCGCGCAATTTCGTGGACTGGTTGATGTTAGACACTAACACCATTGGATGCCGGCTCAGTGGTCTAATGGTTAAGTGCTCAGGCGCGAAGCCAGTAGGTCCTGGGTTCGAATCCCGCGGGGTGCGGGATCGTTGATGCGCACTGCTGAGGAGTCCCATACTAGGACGAAACGGCCGTCCAGTGCTTCCAGGTTTCCAACGGTGGTCTAACATCAATTAATTCATGATCTCAACCAAAAACTTAACAATCTCCACAACCCCCATACTGAAAATTAATAGTATTAAATATACGTTGAACATAACTATAAGATAATAAATTATGATATGGAAACAAGTGTCATTATTTAACCCATACAAA